TGTTCTCTGATGCGCTTTTCAAGCTCCATGCGCGCTTTCGTGAGCATGTTCCTGTGCGCCTTGTACGCTGCCTCTGCATCGGCCACAACTTTCTCCAGCGATTGCGTTTCCTCCTCCTTGCGCGCCTTCTCGGCTGCACATATAGCACAGGTCGCATGGGCAGGCAGGCAATCGGTGAGCGAGAGCGTCAATGAGCATGAGAGTGCATGTACACAAACGAAAGCAGACAACGTAGCAGGCGGCAACAGCACACATTAGCATGCAGACGTGCACAGACACACAGACACACACATACACACACACAGATACACACACACGCACAGACGCACAGACGCACGCACGCACACACACACACACACACACGCAGACACACGCATTCACACGCATGCAGGACGAACCGAGAAGACGCTGGTGTTTCTGCTCTTTGAGCTGCACCAGCTTTGCATCTGTCAGCGCAATGTCCCACTCCTTGATAATCGCTGCAACTTCATCGTTGGATGCGACCTGAACCACGTGCCAGATTGGGGTGTGAGACGTTGCACTTGCTCTCAAAGTGTTTCGCAACCTGCGTGCGAGCTGCTTCAATAGCGCTGCGCACACGCAAACACCTCATGGCCAAGCACACAGGCACATGTACAATGCAAGAGCACGGCAGGCTGCCAGAAAAAAATGGGCATCTCGCCCCCTGCCACCACCGCCATCGTCATTGTCACCTCGGCTGGGGTGATGCCTTCGCTGTCGTACACGCGTGGATCACCGCCCGCTTCCAGCAGAACACTCACAACATCCGCATGGCCTGACAGTTGGGTGGTGAACAGCAGCAGCAGGCGTGGCGACAGTGTGAGTGCGCGAGTGAGAGTGAGAGAGAGAGAGTGTGTGTGTGTGTGTGAGTGAGTGAGTGAGTGTGTGTGTGTGTGTGAGTGAGTGAGTGAGTGAGTGAGTGAGTGAGTGTGTGAGTGTGTGTGCGTGAGAGAGAGTGTGTGTGTGAGTGAATGAGTGAGTGAGTGAGTGAGTGAGTGAGTGAGTGAGTGAGTGAGTGAGTGAGTGAGTGAGTGAGATGATGGCATGGTAACTTTGGCATAAGCAGCCACCACACAAATATGAACACTGAGAGGCGACAATGTTGTAACCAACAAGAGCAAGAGCGAGTGCATTCGCACCTCCAAAGGCAGCACGGTACAGCGGCGTGCGGTCGAACCGGCCCTGTGCGTTCACGTCGGCCCCGCGACTGATAAGGAGGTTAACTGCCGCCACGTGGCCACCGCCCGCCGCTTCCAGCAGCGGCGTGTCCCCGTTACCGTCTGCTGCATCAATGTCCAGCTGTGGCATTGTGGGTTGGGTGATGCAGATATGCGCAGTGTGTGGGTGAGGGATGGGGGTGGATCAACAGTTCAGCGCGGGAACAACAGCGTTGCCAAGGCTCACATGCACACGGGGCGTCGCACGCAGTCAAACAGCATACAGCGTGTTAAACACAGTGACGATCACACACACACACACACACACACACACACACACACACACACACACACACACACACACACACACACACACACCGTCACACAAAAACACACACACAAACACAGGCACACAGACACCGGCACACACCTCGAACTTGTCAAAGAGGTTGAGGAGCGTGTCAATCTCGCCATCAAAGGCGGCTTCGCGCATGTCCTTCTCCCTCTGCATGCGCTCTTTCTTCTCCTTGCGCTTCTGCATCTCCAACTGCATACGCAGGCGATCTTGCTCCTGCTCTCGCTTCACGAGCGCAAGCCACGCCTCCCTGAACACAGCGGCGTGAGTGCACACGACAGTGGGTGACGGTGATGACAGTGAGAATCATGACAACGGAGACACTGCAGGTGGCATGCGCAGGAAATGGACAAGTAGCGCCAGCGCGTGGCGTGCAAGTCTCGGCCTGTGCAGTGGCAGCACCGCGATCAGCGTCTATGCAACGCACACCTCTCAAGCTCTTCCATGGTCTTCTCGTATTCCTCCTTGTCTTTCTTCAACTTGGCGGCATGCCGCTGTGCCAGCACACGGCGCATGTTGCGCTGTATGACAATCGCGGCATCACGGCGCTGCTTCTCCTCCGGGGACAGCTCGGGCTTCTTCTTCTTCTTCGCAGCCGCTGACGGTGGTGTGAGGTGCAAGTCAACAAAGTGAACAAAGTGATAGGGTGAGGGGAGAGCGGGTTTGGATGGAGGCACTCGTCGTTGGGACAGGCATCGAGATCGGCACACAGACAGACAGACAGACAGACAGACAGACAGACAGACACAGGTAGCAGGCAGGCAGGCAGGCAGGCAGGCAGATAGACAGACACGCACACACACACACGCGCGCGCACACACACACACACACACACACGCACACACACACACACACACACACGCACACGCACGCACACACACACACACACACACACACACACACACACACACACACACGCACGCGCGCACACACACACACACACACACACACATGGACGTACCTGTCTTTGTGCCTTTGGTGCGGCTTGCCACGTTAGTCTTGCGGCCTGTGGCAGTGGCTCTGCCTCGTCGTGCAGTGGTGGATGTTGATCCCGCCTTCTTGGCTGTGGTCGTTGACTTGACCTTGGAGGTTGATGATGATGATGACGACGACGACGACGCAGCTGCCCGGCTGCTGGCACTGACCTTTTTCGCGGGCCCGGCCTTGCTCTTGGCTGTCTTCGATGCCGCGGTAGAGGTGGTTGATCGCTTGGTTCCGCTCGCAACAGCCCCTGGCTTGCGCACACCAGTGCCGCGCCCACTGCCACGCGTTGTCATGGCTGTTGCTGTTGTTGCTGTTGTTGCTGTTGTTGTTGTTGTTGTTGTTGTTGTTGTTGTTGTTGTTGTTGTTGTTGTTGTTGTTGTTGTTGTTGTTGTTGTTGTTGTTGTTGTTGTTGTTGTTGTTGTTGTTGTTGTTGTTGTTGTTGTTGTTGTTGTTGTTGTTGTTGTTGTTGTTGTTGTTGTTGTTGTTGTTGTTGTTGTTGTTGACACACTCACGTCATGCACACACTCACGCGCACACACTCACGTCATGCACACATGTCCTTCGTGCCGCCATTCATGTTCACACAGGTTCGATTTGGTCGATACACACACACACACTCACACATACACACACTCACACACATACAGAGGCAAAGTTAACGACAAGGACGACAATTGCAGAAGCAAAGTATAAACGACGGGGAAGCAAACAAAGAAGCGAAGCAAAGAGAGTGCATGGGGAAGACACGTTCACGCATATAGATGCTTGTGCTCGTGCCCCTGCACGCAAGGGAAACAAAAAGCAACCTACTAACAACTGAGAGCACTCATCAACCACATCACGGCTGCAACAGTACGCAGGAGAGTTGAAGCGGCGGAGTGTGGGGGGTGTTGGGCGACAGTGAAATATGAGAGGTGCACAAGGAAATAAGAGATGGGTTGTGAAACACACGCACACATGTACACACACAAAAACACATGTATACACACGCAGACACATCGACACATAGACACACACGCACACTCACACACACACACACACACACACACACACACACACACACACACACACACACACACACACACACACAAACGAACCTGCACGGAGGCGCGCATGGCGGCAAACTGCGCCCTCTGCGTCTGTGTCGCTTCCAACACCTCATACTCATCCTCAGCGGGCACTTGCTTCTGTACGCTGTCCAGATCGTCATACGTGACGTCGTCTGCGTGCGTGCATGTGTGTAAATGTGGTGCTTGGAGGTAAGAAGTGACGACAGCGGTATTGGTGCAAACGATGACGAACACACACACACACACACACACAAACACACACACACACACATTCACATACCTCCAAAGCCAAACGAGTCGTTGGCTGGCTTGGGGATGAGGTGGTCGTAGTGTGTACACGCGTGCGACAGGCGGCAGGGCAAGCCTGCGTTGTCGTGCTGCTTAAAGTGGCCAACGAGCTCCTGTGTACACACACACACACACACACACACACACACACACACACACACACACACACACACACACACACACACACACACACACACACATAGCATGCAAACGCAAACGACAATGGAGTGGTGAGTGGGAGTGACAGCTTGTTGTGGATGTGTACAAATGCCTGCGTACAACCCCTCACTCACCTCTTGACTTAGCCTCTCTTCCCCTTCCGGAACTCCCCCCCCCCCTTATCTCTCGTCCAACCCCTCTCCATCTCCCGTACGTCTCCCCCCCCCCCCAATTCGAGTGGCGTACGGGAAGGCTGCTGAAGGTGAGGCCGTTCGGTGTGACATAGAGCGGGCCTTGCCGCTTGATCTGAAAGTTGTGTAGCGTGTTTGCATGACACATGGACAGCACGACGGCGCCGGGAGACGACTGGCTCGCACGGAACAGGTACTCGCCCTCGTCACCGTGTCCAAACTTGAGCAGCGCCTTCGCATCATCGCGCGTCAGGTGTTGCGAGAGAATGTAGTCAATTCGTGCCGTCTCCATTGCATCTGAGGTGTCAACTGCGCCGCCCACGACACCACCACCACCAATAGCACTGCCGCTGCTGCCGACGACACCGTTGTCTGGTGCTGACGGACCTGGTGCAGGCACCGGTGGCAAGGGGCCCGAGCGTGGTGGCAGCGTGGTGGTGGGGGGCGGTGCTGGTGGCGTCATCTGTGCCAGTGAGGGTGGCAGGCTTGATGGCGGCGGCGGTGCTGCTGTCGATGAGGATGGTGCTGCCGGTGTCGCAAGCGATGGGGGCAAGGTGGATGGCGGTGCAGGTGTTGTGGGCAGCGGCGGGCCGCTCGGCGCTTCTTCTTCCTCGAGCGGCGCCAATGTGTCCACATCGTCGTCATCAATGTCCGGCGGCACCCAGTACCCAACCTAGGGGGAGGGGGTGCGTTGTGTTGTGTTGTGTGTGTGTATGTGTGTGAGCATGTGTGTGTGTGTGTGTGAGCATGTGTGTGTGTGTGCGTGTGTGTGTGTGTGTGAGTATGTGCATGTGTGTGCGTGTGTGTTTGTGTTTGTGTTTTTTTTGTATGTGTGTGTGTGTGTGGTGGGGGGGGGGCAAACAACCAATCAGCACAGTTACACCAGCTTCAGTGCACGGTCCATGCCAGCATCAGTGCACGTTCGTTTCACAACCAACCGCCACCACGGCTGGGGCCATGTACAAAGTACGCACCTCCTTGAGTCGGGCAATGGCGTCAATGAGAGCAAGCACGCGGTCCTGCGACACAGAGCGCACGCCCGTAAACGATCGCGCCTGCAGCGCCACTAGGTGTTTGCCCTCAAACCCGTTGTTGTAAAACACGTCCACAAACTCCTTGAAATCGTGGTGTCGGAGCCAGGCCACGCACTCGTTGAACGACCACTGCGACGGGTGCCGCATCTGCGAGCGCTTTGCCTGCACACCAGAGCCATCAAAATACGGTGGTATGGATGCGCGAGAGAGAGTGTGTGTGTGTGAGTGTGTGTGTGTGTGGGGGGGGGGGTGTGAGTGTGTGAGAGAGAGAGAGAGAGGCAAAGGGAGGGAAAGTGGGGTGAGGAAAGGGGATGTATGAATCGTGTACAGGATGGAACAAGATGGTATACCAGATCGCGGCATCACCACAACCATGGCTCAAGTCGCACAACATGCTACCGAACCAGCACCGATTGGTTCATCGTCCCAGCACCAGCACCAGCACCAGCACCAGCACTACAACAACAACAACTTAAACAACAACAACTTAAACAACAACAACAACTCAAACAACAACAACAACAACAACAACAACAACAACAACAACAACAACAACAACAACAACTCAAACAACAACAACAACTTAAACAACAACAACAACAACTTAAACAACAACAACAACAACAACAACAACAACAACAACTCAAACAACAACTCAAACAACAACAACAACAACACCAGCACACGAATCATCCGCAGTCAGCAGCGCACCTCCTCCTTTGCGGCCTTGAGGGCGTTGATGCGCGCCTCGCGGGCGGCGCGACGGTCCTCCTCGCTGCGCTTGATCGACAGCCGACCTGACACCCAGGGAAGGACGAGCGGGGGTCATGGTGCGTGCGTGCGTGCGTGCGTGTGTGTGTGTGTCAGAAGGTGAGGAATGCAGGGTAAGAACAAAAGGCAGGTAGTGCAAGTTGGATGTGCATTCACGTGGTGTAGCTATGGTTGTGTGCAACACCGCCGCACAACAGGGCACATGCCATAGCCCCACACCTAGCACAACTGCACAGCTGCACACTCAATTACACAACACTCAACAACGCAATTCCAGGGAATCAAACGCGCGCAACCAACAACACTGACTTGATGCGGACGTGTTGCGTGAGAGGCCTGGCTTTGGCGAGCCAACGGAGCTCACACTCGCGGCGCTGGCCCGCCCGTCCATGGCGCTTGTTGACGCCGTCTTGCTGCGTGGCGGCAGGCTCGAGTATGGCGAGTCCTTCGCCTTGGCAGCAGGTGCAGGGGTGGACTTGGCAGGCAGTGCAGGTGGCGGTGCTGCTGCTGTTGTTGTTGTCGCGGCGGGCTGCGGCGCAACCGTGTCTTGCGGCGTGTGTGATTTGGCGGGGGGCGGAGGCGGTGGTCCGGCTTCCTCCTCCTCCTCCTCCTCCTTTGGCAGCTGTGGCGGTGGCTGGAGTGGCGTGGCTGTCGTAGCTGTCGTGGCGACGGTCGATGTGGTCTCCACAGACGCAGCGGAGTGCGGCTCGTGCTTCGCCGGCAGTGGCGGCACCTCCGCACCACTTTGGTCTGCAAAGCCGTGGGTCGCTTCGTTCTCGCCCGCGCCCAGCCGTTCATCGTCATCGTCGACATCGGTCGGCTGCTGCGGGAACAGGCCCGTGATAAACGGGTTGCTGTGCACCAGGCTCTTGTCACCAAACCCAGTGAGGTCCTCCATGTCCTCGTCGCCGCTGGCACCACCACCACCACGGCCAACACTGCTCCTCCTCTTTCGCGGGGGCGTCTTGGTTGCCGATGCTGCTGCCTGCGTCTCTGCGTCGGCAATTGCGTCCAGGTCAAAAGCGTCCACATCCACGTCCTCATCGTCACCAAACCCGCCATCATCAAGGTTAAATGTCTCTCCGTCTGACGTCTCCCCCATGTCAAACCCAAACCCAGCCACCTTCTCCATCACCAGGCTCGCCCGCTGCTGCGCGTTCTTTGCTGCTGCGTCATCCGTCTCCGTCGCCACGTCCGCGTCGCCGAGGTCGTCAAACTGCAGCACCTGCGCGCCCGTATCGGATGAGGCGCCCATCGTGTTGCCCAGCACCATGCGGCGCTTCTGGTTGAGCGCAACCCCTCCGCCGCCGCCATCTGTCGACGAGCCGTCAATCCCCTCTGCAGCCGTGCTGTCGTCAAAGAGCGGATTCATGACCTGCCTGTCGCCACGGCCCTGAATCGGCGTGGAGCTGCCTGTGCTGCTGCCGCCCGGGAGCACGCCCGTGTCGACCATCGTCACAATGTCGGGGTTGGTCTTGGCGCGGCGGCGGCGGGAAATGAGGCAGATGACGAGGAAGAGCAGCGCAAGGAAGGCAACACCGCCGGCGACACCGGCAATGATGGGGATGGGCAGGGAGGACGAGTCGGAGTTTGGTGCCGCAGTCGTTGGTGCTGTTGTGGTTGAGGCGGGCGCAAGCGTGGTGGTGCTCGTCGTCACCACGACCTCCACAGTCACGCCAGAGAGGGCGGAGAAGTAGGCGTGTGCACTGAAGGCGGTTTGGAGAGCAGTTGCGTCCTGCAATGCAGCGTCGACAGCGGCAAGCGGGTCAGTGGTGAAGCCCGACACCGTCTGCGTTGTGACTGCGACGCGGGCGGCGATGGTCTGGTCGGATGTGCTCGCTGGTGGGATGCGCAGCACGATGCTGGCAGGGGAGGCACCGATGGCAGCGGCGAGGGTGGTGACAAAGAGGGTGGTGTTGAAGGAGGAGAGGGGCGGGTGCGAGGATGAAAAGGTAAAAGTGATGTCGCGAAATAGCACAACATCCACCACCTCGATGCATCTGCACTCGCCCGGTGTGGGTGCGCTGCACTCGTAATACCCGGGCAGACCGGACCCGTCTTCAAGTGATGATGGTGTTGTTGTTGATGATGATGATGATGATGTTGTTGTTGGGATTTGTTTGTGGGATGGTGGTGATGGGAGAGGGAGGGAGACATGAGGGATGGCGGCAGTGTGGATTGGTGAAGCAAGGACAAAGATACACACAGGAGTGGTGCGTCGCGCAACCAATGCACACACACACACACATAGTCACTCTCTCACACACATAGTCACTCACACAACCATAAAGCATACACACATGCACATGCACATGCAAACACATGCCGCGTGGACAGCGCACCAAGTTGGCAGGTGAGGTTGAAGGCGGTTGCGGTAGTGGATGTGAGAAAGCCCGGTGCGCAAGTGAAGAGCACGCCTTCGTTGTCGGCAGTTGCTGGTGCAGGGAACACAGAGGGCGAGAGGTTGGCCAGCGCATAGGGTGCACCGCACAGCGTGCAGGTGGTGCTGGTGATGTCCGTGAGATCTGCGGATGCGCCCACATCAAGCGTGGCGTTGGCGCCGTTACAGTCAAACAGATACGGCCCGCTCTGCTGCAGCGTGAGTTGCACCGTGTGCGAGGCGTTGGCTGCTACCGGTGGCGGGCCTGTGAGGAAGTTGCCGCTCACGTCGATCTTGTCCAGCGTCGCGCGCAGGCGCACCTGCTGGCCGGTCGCAGACAGGTTGCCTCGCAGACCCGTGGAGGGGACGCCCAGCTGCCGCAGTGGCAGTGACCACACAAAGGCCGGCAGCGGGCCGGGGCCAAGCGGGTTGCTGGCGAGGTTGAGCACCCGCAGCGCGGGCAGCTGCGCCAGCACAGGCGACACAGCCGTCAGGTTTGCAGACGGGGCCTCTAGCGTCGCCAAGTTCTGCAGGTTGGCGAGCGAGGAGGGCAGCATGCTGAGAGAAATGGTGCCCGCAAACGACGTCAGCGAGATGCCGGTCACAGACTGCGTTGTATCGCACGTGATGCCGTCCCAGTTGCACTGGTGGTCAACGTCATCCCATGCAGCTGTGAGCACAGGGGAGAGCGCCCGAAGATCAAGCATGGCCGCGCGCTCCGGCGTCGGCTCACACGCGCTGTCGGGAATGATGGCGTTGTGGCAGGTCTGGTTCACCAGCACATGCTCCACGGGGCACGAAATGGTGCACGCTGTGCACGGCGCACACTGTGCAGTGGGGCACCCGCAGCTGTAGGTGACAGTGCGCTCAAGCGAGACGGCGCCGTCTGAAAAGGCCAGGTACTTGATGGTGGCATTTGCAGCCGCTGCTGGCGGCGTACGCAGGGCGGCGGTGGTGCCATTGATGACAATGTATGTGACGGAGTTAAACGCGCACCGCTCAAACGCATTGTTGTCAATAGGTTCGTTCAAGTTGGTTGTGTTGAGGATCAGGAAGTCGTCTGTGTCCACTGCGTCCGCGGAGATGGCGATGCCCGGGTTTGAGGTCGGAGCAGAGAACGAGAACGTGACGGGGCTCTCCGGCAGGTACAGCTGGCCGGAAGCACCAACGGGTGCATTGTTGTGGCGCAGCAAGATGGTGAGCGGTGTCTCGCTGGAGGAAGCAAAAGAGCATGGGGCTTGTGCCGCGGTTCTTGGCACACACGCCGCAGCACACAGCGTCATGACCACGACAGCAACGCGCCATGAGGTCGGTGAGGCCAGTGGTTGTGGTATTCTCGGCCTGTCCGGCCGCCTTTGTTGTTGTTTGCGGTTGTGAGAAGCGGTGCTGCCTGGGCTCTCAGCAGTGCGACACGCGCATGCCCGGCCAGGCGTGCCTGAGCCTCTCATGCCCCAAAGAAAGCACTGGCTTGCTGTGGAACCTTGTGGTGCAACTCTCCTGGCGCCGCAGTTCTGCAAAGCGAAGAGCAACAAGGGAACACAGGACAACACATGCACACCATGGGTGGGGAACAATGCCATGTGAGCAAGCAGTGATTCACGCGCGATCCCGTTGGTGTAGGATGCAATGCTTTGTTGCACAACGCACAACGCGCGTGCACATTCATACACACACACACACATGCGCATACATGCGCATACACGTGGGTGACAGCGATACAACACAGACAGGGGTCGAGGTGTGGTGACAGGCCAGCGTGGCAGGCACACCATCAGCACAGGACACCATCAGCACAGGACGGCTGCGCATGCCGCCCACATCACCGCCGCCTTTCCACGCCCACCCTCCTCCTCCTCGCCTCACCTCGCTTTGCTTTTGCAGCAGCGCAACACAACAAAGGGCGTGGAAAATGTTCGCAATGATTTCGGTAGGTTGTCGGAGCAATTCAGGAAAAGTGCATCGAATCTTTGGGCTTTAACAGAGGATGAAGCGCAGAGTCATGATGATTCCATGCGAAATTAAATGGACCGCTTCATCGATGCCGTACCACTTTTTGTGATGTTGCACACCATCCATGATGGCTGACGTTGGCGGCGAGGTTTGGTGTTGTTGTGTTGTGTTGTGTGCGTGTGTGTGTGCATGTGTATGCATGTCTGTGTGCATGTCTGTGTGCATGTCTGTGTGCATGTCTTGTGTGTGTGTGTGCATGTGTGTGCATATGTTTGTGTGCATGTGAACCGTCACCACTCATTCATTATCATTGGTCGTCCGTGTTCGGCCCGTGATTTTTGTCGTCATGCTAACGCTATGTAGAACGACGAGAATGGGCTTCGTGCGCGGTCCATGTCCACGGTGAGTCGAGCTGCCTGCACTGTGGCAGCTGACTGCTGCTCACGCGATGCTGTGGACCACACTCTATCGTGCATGCATGTGTGCGTGTGCGTGTGTGTATGTGTATGTGTGCGTGTGTGTGCTAACAGAGAGCAACACAGGTGATTCCTCTCACAACCAGATGACGCACACGCACGCACACACGCACGCGCACACACGCACGCACACACGCACGCGCACACACGCACGCACAGCCGAGGAATCCACGCCATGCTGAGCTGTGTGAGGAGCTGAGGACAGCAAGCATGGCGGCGACGCCAACGCTGCTGCGAACGCCGCTGGACCGGTTCCGGCTGGAGAAGCTCGTGCACCAGCAGGATCGGCGGCTGAAGATCCTCAGCTCGGAGAAGCTGGCCTTGCAGCAGGAGCTGGAGATGGCAAACGACCGCGCAAAGAAGCTGGAAACCGCAACACAGGCGGCGGAGACGCAGCGCGACATGGCAAAGAAGCAGCTGGCCGAAGCAGAGCAGCGCGCCAAGGACGCACGGCAAACACACGACCAGGCCGCATTGCAGACGCAGCTTGCAGAGGCCAACTCGCTCATCCACAGGCTCGAAACGCAGAACGCCACGCTCGCTGCGCAGGTGGAGGCTGTTGGGCAGGCATTTATCCAAACCATGTCCGCGACAGGGCTCTCGGAGCTCGGGTCGCGCAGTCCAATGGAGTGCGTGCAGTCGTTTCTGGAGGAGTACGAGGCGCAGCGGCAACTCCGCATGAACCTTCAGCTCGACCTGGACAGGTCCATGGCCGTTGTTGAGGCATGCAAGGCCAAAATCGCCCAAGACCGCGACATGCTGGTTTGTCAACTTGTTTCCTTGTGTGCATGTGCGTGTGCATGAGTATTTGTTTGCTTGTTTGCTTGTTTGCTTGTTTGTTTGTTTGCTTGCTTGTTTGCTTGCTTGCTTGTTTCTTTGTTTGTTTGTGTGTTTGTTTGTTTTGTGTGGTAAAAACTTGTGAATGTGTGTTTTGTGTGGTGATACTTGTGAATGTGTACACTGTGTGGTCCTTTGCAACGCCTCACACATTTTCCTCTCACGCACACGTGCTGCCACAACTGTGACAGATGCAACTTGAAGCACAGGCAGAAGAGCTTGAGGAGGAGAATGACTCGCTCCGGCAGCGCCTGAAGAATGCGCAGGCAGAGGCATCGCAAGCGGTGGGTCGCACATGTCCTCGACTGCAGCTCGCCTCACACACTCATACATGAACACACACACAATCACACACTTACTCACATACACTCACACACACACACACACACACACTCACACACACACACTCACTCAATCACTCACACACTCTCTCACTCAATCACTCGCTCAATCACTCACACACACACACACTCACTCAATCACACACACACACACACACTCTCTCTCTCAATCACACACACACTCACTCAATCACTCACGCATGCACACACGTGCGCAAATCCCCATACCCCCTCCCTCTCCCGACACCCTCATGGCATCACGGGTAGCACGATACGGTGGAAGCGCTGCAGGCGGACAAATCGGAACTGCTGTCCGAACTCAATGCAGAACGCGACAAGTACACGTCATTGCGTCATCGCTTGGAAGACATGACGCAAGACGCATCCTCTGCCAGCAGCGGCAAGAAGAGCCAGCGCCGCGCACGCCGCTCAACTGCTGCCGCCTTCAACGCCTCGCTGTCCCGTGTGGACGAGGGCGAGAGAAGGGCTGGTAGTAGCGGTCGCGACGGCAGCAGCACAGACGAGGACGAAGAGAAAGAGTTTATTGACGAGCTGCAGGCGAAGCTGGTGGATGCCCAGGCCGAACAAGACCGCCTGCGAACCTTCCTTGCCGAAGAGACACAGGACTATCACAAGCACGTGGCGCTGCTTGGGGAGATGCTTGCGACGGAGCGGGAAACAAATGCCAGTCTGCGCGAAGAGCTGCAGGGCCTGGAGATGGCATACAGAACAGAGATTGAGCAGACAAAGCTCGAGCTCGACGACTACAGAGAGGTCAGCACCGTGTATATGTTGATGATGATGTGCGTGTGTGTGTGTGTGTGTGCGTGCGATTGGTTCGTTGTGCGTGTGCGTGTTGGGGATCGGATTTGTGTGATGCTTCACACAATCCTAGCGACTGTGAGGACTGCACAAAGGCCGCACACCCACCCACCCGCACCCACACACACCACACACACACACACACACACACACACACACACACCACACACACACACACAAGCACAAGCACAAGCACAAGCACATACAAGCAGTCTGCAGCTCGCTGCCTCCCCCTTTGAACGCCTCACGCATGTGCCACCACCACCACCACCACCACCACCATCACGATGACAATGGCTATGATGCTTCAAAAGGCGCTGGAAGCAACGTCCGCAGAGCTGAACGAGGCCGTGGCACGTGCAGAGACCGTGGAGTTGGAATTCGAGTCCACCATCACGGGTGTGCAGGAGCGATTGCTGCTTGACGAACACACAGAGACGCCGCGCTTCTCGCGCACCTCCTTTGCCGCGTCGCCAACCACCACCCCATCGTCACCCTCCGACATGCTCGAGGGAACAGATGCACGCACACACCAACAACAACATCAAGGACACAACACTGAAGCACGTGTTTCGCAGCAACCGGCGAGCAAAGAATATCCACCACCAGCCGCACCCGTCACATCAGCTGCAGCAGCAACAACAACGCAAGATGAGACGACGATGCACCATCATCATGGTGACGATGCAAGTCGCCCGCACTCACCAGAACCGAGCGAGGACCAGGCCACTACCATGGGGAGTCCGTGGAAGGAAGTGCCGGAAGCAAGCACGCTGTTTGCGACAGTGGACCGGTGGCGTGAGACGAAGAACAAGCGGCTGCGCTCTGCACGGCGCGAGCTGCGGCACGTGCAGAAGCGGCTTATGGAGACTGAATCCAGTCTAATGCGGCTGCGATCACGCTCTCGCCACTCCACGGCCTCCATCCCCACATCACCCACCGCAACAGCAACCACAACAGCGTCTGCGCTGCTGGTGGAGACGCCGCCCGCAGCCCGCGCCGGTGATGGCAGTCGAGTTGTGTCGCCCAGCCAGCTGCATGCAAGCATCAGCGCATCCCGTGCGAACGAGCGGCCATCGTTGCCTGCAGGCACACTCGCGGGCATGCTGCAAGGCAGCCGCCACATGCGCGCGCACAGCAGCAGCGACTGCGTAGCTGGCGTGGTGACCAAAGACGACGTCATTGCTGATTTGATGCGCGATTATGAGATGGACATCAGCGGTGCTGCGGGAAAACTGGCGCGTCTCATGCGCACAATTGCGGAGAAGAAGAGAGAGCTCGCCGAACTCACAGCAAGCGTCACCGTCGCCCGCGAAAACACCGCCTCCAGTGCGGCCGCGGCTGCCAATGGTGGCGAAAGTGGTGATGACCATTACGACGACAAGGATGCTAGCAGCTGTGGCAGTGGTGATCATGGTGACGATGATGATGATGACGAGGAGGAGGAGGGTGGTGGTGTCAGCCGCAATGAGCGTGCCAACGGCAGCAAGACAGGCAGCAGCAGAAGTGACAGTGCCTTCCACAAGTCGCGGCAGTCGGAGGCCACAGCAACACCGGCGCACGGCGATGCTGCCGGTGACACTAGCAACAACGACAAAGACAAGAACAAGCCGCCGTCCTCATCGTCATCATCATCTGCATCATCTGTAAGGGCAAAGCACGCATCCAGCAAACCCGATGCTGATGGCTTGGGTCGTCGCAGCAAGAAGACGAGTCGCAGCGCAAGCACGACCAGCATTGCTCTGCCTGGCAGTGGCAGTGGTGCCGATCACAGCGACAGTTTGCTGGGTGGTGAAAGCGTTGATGCGCTGATTGCCAAACTGAACGACGCAAAGGAAACAATCAGGCATTACGAGGAGCTGAGCTGGGCCCTTGTGAATGCCCAGCCCTTACCAACAACATCAGCATCAATTCAAGCGACAGCCGTCAACAGCAGCGGTTGTGATGGTGGTGATGCTGGCAACAGCGGCAGAGGCGATGCCGGGCACGATAGTCACGCTTCTGCACCCACTGAGCCAGGCGCTGCCAACCCTGATGGTGGTGCCGCTACTGGTCATAGTGCATCTCACACCACCACCACCGCCTCCAAGTCCACTGCATCGAGGGCGCGGGCACGCACGCGCATCATCCGACGCCACACGTGGGTTGCACCTGCGGCGCTGATCAAACTGCAGACGTGGGCAGCTGACCGCCTCCCACGCCGTGCTCCGCGCACCCGCCACGGCCGGAGCGATGGCGAAGGCACTGTTGGTGGTGGTGGGGACGAGCATGATGACAACTGTGTGCTCGTGGAGAGCGCAGAGGCCGCCGCGAACAAGGGCAAACATGCCCTGTGCGTGCTTGCAGGCAACCCCGACAGCCGCCGGGCGTCTGTGCGCTCGTCGTGGAGCATTGACTCGCTCGCAGAGGATGCACTTCGCGCTGTGCGGGAGGAGAGGCGGCAGTCCCGTGCGGCCATCCACCAGCAGCAGCTGACCCTGGTTGCTGTTGCTGTAGCGTGGATGATGATGGCACTGGGCGGTGTTGGTCGCGGCGCCGCGCTGCTGTGGTCGCTGCTGGCTGGACTTGCCTCGCTCATCTGGTTGCTCGTCACATCCCCGTCATCGGCGCCGTCGTGGCTGTTGAAATCCCTTGCGCGCCTGGGGAAGAAGACGCGTGGAGAGAACAGCACATCTCAGCCCCTCGTCACCCTCTGCAGGTTTGCCCATATCCATGTTTGTGTGTGATTTGATTGTGTGGTTGTGTGGTTGTGGGGGTTGAGGTTGGTTGTGATTGTGGGGTTGGTTGTGATTGTGGTTTGTGCCAGCGCTAGTTTCATGCACGTTCACAACCATGCCCTTGAGGGTTGTTTTGTTCGCGATGTCATCATGTTCACCTGCATTCACCTGGACACGCACGCTTTCCGTGGCTGTACATCTTGCGGCAGCACACTACCGTCTGCGCTCGACGCGACGCACACAGACGAACTCCGTTATCAACTCTTCAACACGTGAGTTGCCACGATTTTGCACTCATGGATTCGCGAGCGCGCGTGTGCGTGCATACGTATGTTTGCACACACATGTGTGCATGCGTGTGCAAGTGAATGCATTTTGTGTAAATGTGTACATGTTTGCCTGTATGTGTGCCTTTGCTGGGGCTGCCTCAACCACGACATGCTCAAGACGCTCACGCGCACGCCATGATGCCACGTCTGTCCCTTGTCAACTTCTTCCCTCTCGCCAGCGTGGATGCCGCCACGTTGTCTGGCGTGGAGGTTCGCTGCGTGTGGCGCGGTGATCGCAGCAGCCACCACATAAAGCGCCTCACACGCCAGCTCGCCTCGCCTACGACACGCGATGGCTTCTACAACACAGCATTGGCTGCTGTCCCATCGCCATCCACCGTCTGTGCACAGGCAACACTGGTTGATGCCAGCCTGCTTCAGACAGCATCACCACCGTCGTCGCCATCATCATCATCATCGTCGTCATCGGTGAAGTTTCCCCGTTCGTTTGTGGTTACAGTGCTTCCCCGGGTGGAGGCAGCCAACGTGCTGGGTACGCTGCTGCTGCACCTGGGTCAGCAGCAGCAACGCGTGCGCCCCTCAGGACAGTCCAAGGGCACCGGCGTGAGCGCACACTTGCATGCGGTGGCTGGCGGCGCTGTGGCTGTCGCGATGCTAGCGCGCTTCCTCCTCGTGACCATCTTCCATCACCTGTGGGCACGCATCAGCGGTGGTGGGAATGTGCCGTTGGTCGACAACAACAGCAGCAGCGGCGGCGGCATACACAACACGACCAAAAACGCGCAGAAGAAGGCGGCAAAGCGCAAGCACAGCAAACACAACAAGCACGAACACCGCCAGTCCTCGCAAGCCTTGTCCATGCCACACCCATCCTCATCCTCAGCATCATCATCGTCATCGGCATGGGCTGTGGGCGGAAAGTCGCGTCGAACATCAAACGCAGCGCCTGTCATCTTTGCTCGCTCAGCGGTAACGGGGCCACCGCCGCCGCCACCAACTTCTGCAGGCTCATCCGATATGCATTCGTGTGTCAGTGCGCTTGCCAGTGCCATACATGCCCTTCTGAACGGCCCACTGTGTGGTGGTGGCAAGGCACAGCAGCAACCACGGCGGAATCTCGTTGTCGCCCTCTCTGTGTACATGACGGCGTCGCAGTCGCCACTGCGGTTTCTCACGACCGCAGCAGCGCTTCGCACGGCCACGCGCACACCCCACATGCTGGCTGCCCTCCTTGCAACCTCCTCCGCCTCCTCATCATCATCATCATCATCGTCATCATCATCATCATCATCGTCGTCGTCGTCGTCGTCGTCGTCATCGCCACTGTCCATTAGGACATCATGTTTTGCGGCCAGCGAGGCGTTGTTGCGGCTTGTTTCTCGTTCCCTCTCGCTGTGTGCTGGCGTGCGTGCAAACACATGTGCAGACATCAGTCTCCACGTCCTTCCGCCACTCTGTGTGCCAGCAACCATGTCGACACAGACGCTCGCGTCAGATGTGGACATGTATGTGCAGGATGCGGGGTGTGCTGGCCCTTCCGTGTGTTTGAGTGCTGTCAACTCGACGCTGTTTGTGCACGCAACGGACGCATCAGGGCGATTGTCTGCCAGTGCTCTGCAGGACGCCGTCGCCCTCGCCGCGCAGGACGCCTGGCATTGAGTCTGATCGTGTGTGTGTGCGTGTGTGTGTGTGTGCGTGTGCGTGTGCGTGTGCATACTTGTGTGTGTGTGTGTGTGTTCTGTTGAGACGAGTGCACTGTAACTATCAACTTTGCTCGTCCCGTGTGGCTGGCAAGGTTAGCTTCCTCTTGTCTTGGATCGTCCTAGCAGTGAGCTTACGCAAGATTTCATGTGTGTGCATACAAGGTGGTTTCACATTGTTCGTTGTGCCGCAACGCACAACTGAATGTCAACCAATTTCAGCGTGCCTTCAAACTGTTCGTTCTCATTAGACTGTACTTATGCCCCTTGAGTGAAGGCAAGCGCGTATTGTGTGTGTGTGTGTGGGGGGGGGGGCATGTGGAGAGGCGGAACAACAATCATGGCAGCAAGCAACAAACAGCAGCATGTGAAAAATGTGTACATCAGCGCCAGCCAAGTCAACATGGCGCGTGAGCTTGCAAAAAAGAAAAACGCCATAACCAAGAGAATACGTACGCACACACACACACACGCACGCACGCACACGCACGCACGCACGTCGACACAGATGAACGCAATGTTTGATGTGGCGACAAGGGCAATCACCCGTCCATTGCGCACACGCCATGACTTCATGATGACTGCATCACGTCACAATTGAACCATGTCACCACTCAACACGAGTACCAGCGGCAGCACCAACCAACACCATCAATGGTCACCCCATCAGCCATCATCACACCACATCACGTCACGTCACTGCTTGTGTAGGGCAGCAAGGCGCGGGTCATTGCGCAATTTGTGCTCCATTTGCATGGACAAATGCGGTGTTCTCTCCTTGTGTTGGGCCAGGCGCTGTGGACAGAATTGGAGCAGTGGTGAAGCGTGGATGCGATGTTGTTGGGCAAAGGGTGTTTGAACAGATGGGAGGTTGGAGAAGTGAGAAGAAAACAACCGTGACATCAAGGTGAGCACCGTTCCACTTGCACGCACCCATGTACATACATACATACATACATACATACATACATACATACATACATACATACATACATACATACATACATACATACATACATACATACATACATACATACATACATACATACATTCACACACTCCTTGGAACCACGGACTACAATCAGTGCCAGTATGACGGCGTGAACGCAACACAAGGCAACCATTGCAATTCTTCTTCACCTTTTGCAGAATGTTCATGCGGAACAATGCCTCATTTCTGTACTTCGCAAAGTCACGCTCCTCTTCCTCCGACAGCGACGGCTGCAATGATGTGGTGGCATGGATCGCGTGAGTACTTGTGCGCGAATGAGGGAAATGGAGTGTGCTTGCGTGCGTGTTTGTGTGTGCGTGTGTGTGCGTGTGTGACTAGTGCACAACATTAAGAATAGTCACCAGCACAAATAACCCCAACAAACACATGCGAGCACACGCAATGGCGGACCTGATTCTGCTTGAACCACGCCGTTTTTGCCTGCAATTCCTTCGCCTCGCGGTTGCATTCGGCCTCGATGAAGTTGAAGCGCATCTTCAGCTGCGTCTGCACTCAGGAAGTAATCATCCCCACGATGTGCAAACGTGTGAGCAGAATGCAGCAACCATAGAGTGCATATTCTGTAGTCGCGCTCGAGCAACCCACACACATGCACACACACACACACACACACACACACATTCACATGCTGGTGCATCAGCACCCCCCCCCTGTGTCTTGAATTGCTGAACGCGTACCGTGAAGTCGTCCATGACCTGGTCCTTGAGCCAGGCCGCCGTCACCTCGTCAATGTGCGCCGGGTCGTCGAGGCGCACCAGATACGGCGCAAGGTAGTCCTCAGCCTGCTTTGCCCGTCGAATCGCCTCGTTCCTGGTGGCGCAGCGAGCGTGTGTGGCGGCGGTTGACGCGTTAGTGGCGTTGTGTGTGTGTGTGCTTGTGAATACTTGTGTGTGTGTGTGTGTGTGTGTGTGCACAAAGGCGGCGATGGGGCATTCACGCTGTGGTCCGAGTGAAAGAACTCACTTTGCATCCTGCTCCTGCTTCGCGCGCTCAATGCGAAGCTTCTCGTTTCGCATGGTGTCGTAGAACGAAATCTGTGGAACAACCAAGCACAACATGCAAGGGGCACACGTGAGCAGGAATGGCCAAGCCAGATTTGCTTGTTGTTGCGCATACATGCGTGTATGTGTGAGTTTCTTTGTAAAAGGACACGTTCGTGTCTGCATTGCGTGTGCAGGTGCGTGTTTGGAAGTGCGTTTGCGCGTGCAGATGTGCACACACCTCCAATTCGACTTCCTTGTCGTCCCTCTCCAGCGCTTCAAGAATATCGCGCGTTTCGCGCATGGACAATCCAATGCTCTTCCGGCACGCCTTCTCCATCCGCAGGCACTGCAACGGAAACATGGTCGTGTACGTGCGTGCGTTGTGAGGGAGGGGGGTTGGGTCAGTGAATATGTGGTGGCGTTTATCACAAACACACGTACACGCGCAAATACATATGCACATGCAAATACACATGCACACAACACAACACACACATGCACACAACACATACATACAAACATGCACACAACACATACACATAAACATTTTCACACACACAACACAACAAACACACACCTTTTGGAGCATGCCGAAAAGCTCAAAGTTGCGCGGTTTCTTGCTTGAGCTGTCTGGCGTGTACAGGTCGACGTACTCGTCCGAAATCGGCTCAATCTCCTGCATTGCAGCAACAGAGTTGGTGGTGATGGACATGTATGGTGAGGGCGGGCGTGGTGTTCGTGTCAAATAACGAGTAAGAACAACTCAAGACGAGAGCGTGCACACATGTACACAATGGGTTGTGCAAAAGCGCGTGCAAAGCAATGCAGCACGACACCAACCTGCTTGTCAGTGATGTGCGGTTTCTCCAGTTCAAGCGTCGAAGCGCTGATGCGCCCGTCTGTAAATCGCATGCCAGGCAACACAACACGGGGGGGGGGGGGTATGTGTGAACTTAGACTGCATGCGTGCACACAGGGACGTGTTACAGTGCAACTTTGCATGGCCACATTGATAAGATGCAGCCACCACCACCTCCACCACAGGTTTCACCCCCGCAGCCACCAACATCACCTCCTCTGTGGAACTTGATCTGCACGGCGTCGGCAAAGTATGCAATCTCCTCCATGTCCTTTTCCGCAGGCACGAGTGGCGACCGCGCAAACCGCTCCGTCTGGGCATACATGGCGTGGTCGGTGATGGGTGAACAAAGGAATTGTGTGGTGTGTGTGTGTGTGTGTGTGTGTGTGTGTGTGTGTGTATGTGTGTGTGTGTGTGTGTGTGTGTGTGTGTGTGCTTGGTTGTCTGAGGAACGGGATATGGACGTGGACACGACATGCAGACTTTGGGATCCCACGAGTATGATATACGGTCAACGGCATGCACGACCTTACCAGCACTTCAATGTCTTCTGGTGTCCTGGCAACGTTGATGTTGACCCTGGACACAAACCAGTGGCGAAGCACCGAGGCGTGGTGGGGATGAGACATCGCGACAACCGACGGAAATTGAACGACGGCAGCCGTGTTTCCAGCGTACACACACACACACGCACACACACACGCACGCACGCACACACACACACACACACACACACACACACACACAGTTCGCGTACTTTCGTCTGCGCCTGCCACCGGCACTTTCGTTCAAATCAGAGAATGTTGCCTGCAGAAATGTTGGTCACGTATGTCAGAGTGGTCATTCAACCATGTGTGCGAACACGTGCAAACCAACCGCAAACGAATTCAAAAGTCTCGGAGGCGCCCATCCTCCCCCCCCCCCCCGCACACACACACACAGCGCACCTGGCGCATGAGCAAGTTGTCTTTGCGGTCCCGGTATGTTTCCGTAATCTGATGGTAGAGAGCAGTGGTGCATGTGAGCCTGTGTGTGCACACAGAAGCACAACTCATATGTATACGTGATGTTCATGTGCACACTTGCATTGTGTGCGTGCGTGTGTGTATGTGTGTGCGTGCGTGTGTGCGCGTGTGCGTGTGTGCGTGCGTGTGTACCGCGGCTGCGTCCTCATATCGCTCCACGAGTCCGTCCACCCGCGATCCCGCATAGAAGATGATGCGACGCGTTGGCGCGTTCTCCTGCCACGTGCACACATACAGATGTATTGAGTAGTGAGCCATTGGCGACGCAAAGTAAGGGGGGTGTGCGTGTGTGTGTGTGTGTGTGTGTGTGTGTGTGTGTGTGTGTGTGTGTGTGTGTGTGTGTGTAGCGCAGGTGATGTGGCGGAGGTGGGGTGCGGCGTGGTACGGTGACGAGAACAGGGTATCACGACTAAAGCGGTGGTGGAGACGTCACAAGAGCCAACTACAGGCACTCGAGCACAGCACATGCCAACACAGCACATGTGCTTCGCTCACGTCGGTGTAGACGTGTCTGCGGATCTTGAACTTGTGGCCCGGTGCGTACACGTGGTCGTGGCGCGCGGCCGACTGCGCACGCAGCACGTGCACGCGAGATTGTGCACGCGAGATTGTGAGGGGGAGAAGAGGAGTGTAATGCGTGCTAGTGGGGTGTACATGAACTCAATGGTGGTTCATGGACTGAACCAAAGTGTGCGTCGTCAACACTGAACATGATTCCGTGAAACACACACATGCCTGTCGCCACCACTGTTTGTTGCAAGCGTAGCTCGAACATGCACACCTCATCGGTTGCGGGATAGAAGACATATTTGAGCAGGCAGTCCTTCCTGTGTTTGTATGTGTGCGTGATGCTGAGCAGGCGCTTCAGCTCCTCTGTCTCATACCGCTTCACTCTACGTTGGACACCAAAGGAGGGAAGTTCACGTGTGCGTGTGTGTGTGTGTGTACGTGTGAATGTACGTGTGTGAGTGTGTCGAGTGAGTGAGAAGGTATTGGTCACGCAGGTCACGCAATCAAAGGAGAATAAAGTGCATGGCATCCGAGCGCATGTATGCGAGCTTGTGCACGCGCGAGCTGTCGTGTTCGGTGGCTTTCACCGCCCTATTCGTGTGGTGCAGCGAACAATGAGTGAGTTGCATGCATGCCAGTGCCCACCCACCGCTTGACGAGGCCGTTTGGATTGAGATATTCCGCAAAGATCTCCACTTCCTCGTTTGCAAATTGCAGCTTCCGCGTGCCGTTTGGACACCGCAGCTCATACTCCTGTGCGTGCGTGCGTGTGTGTGTGTGTGTGTGTGCATGTGTGTGTGCATGTGTGTGTGCATGTATGTGTGTGCGCATGTGCGTGTGGTTTATCAGCAAGGTTGTGGCGGAAGAGCGACAAGCGTGCAAACCACAAAGCGTCACCAACACGCACACACACACACACACGTCAATGCACACGTGTTTCCGTGCTGCACCTGTGGGGAGAGGGAGAGGCGAGCGACCCAGGATGTGGGCAGATCAACCTTCAGGCCTTCCTCTGCATGATCCTCATCCAGTGGGAACTGAAATGTGGACACACGCACAAACACGCGCATACACGGATAGGCATCAAACAAGCATGTGGGCATTATCGTATGAGTGTAGTTCTGTTGGCAATAGGAGGCAGATGCACACGCACACATACACATCGACGCATCTAAATGAATCACACACACACACACACACGATACCATGTATTCCCAGCATGTTGTGTCCTTGAGATCGTATTCCATGTCATCAAGGCCATTGACGCACTTCTGCATGTTCACCCACAGGTTGCTGCAGTGCACGGGGCGCCGTTGGTGGTAGCAGGCGTGGTGAGTGGAAGGAGGCAGGTCGACAACGATTTCACCAATGTTGACGCATTACATATGTGTGTGTGTGTGTGTGTGTGTCAAATAAGGGATTGGTGAGCACCTTGAGTTCCAGATGTACTCGATGCCGAGATAATTTGGATCGTCCGTAAACAGCGCAACGCCCGTCGTCGGCTCTGACAGTGGTGGTGATGGCAGTGGCGGCGATGATGATGAAGAAGAATAAGAACAAGAACAGGGTGGTGGTGGTGGTGGTCATGGAGAAACAATCATTGAACGCACACGCGGAAGCACACGCACGAGTAGACACAGGCACAAGCACACATGCACACTCACTCACTCACTCACTCACTCACTCACGCGCACACGCACACGTCACTGCCAGCCTCACCGATGAAGAATGCCTCGTGCACGCCGCGCTGGCCCGGGAGCACGAGCACCCAGCAGTGGACGCGGAGGCCATGCAATTCGTCCTCGGGCGGGGCAAGACGGGCACGTCGCTCCTCCTCCTCCTTCCTCTTCTCTTCGCGTTGGCGATCGTTCTCCTCTGTCTTGGTGCGCTGCTGCATCTCGCGCAGGTACTTGCTCTCCAGCCGGTTCTCCCGCTTGATCGAGTACCTGCGCACAATGATATGATGTGAGGAAGAGCAAGAGGGAGGGTGTTGTGTGTGTGAGTGTGAGTGAGTGTGAGTGAGTGAGCGTGTGCGTGTGTGTGTGAGTGTGAGTGTGTGAGTGTGTGTGTGTGAGTGTGTGTGTGTAAGCTTGTGTGTGTAAGCTTGTGTGTGTGTGTGTGTGTGTGTGTGTGTGGAGGGGGGCAGCTTGTGTGGCACGTGCACTTCGTTGTGTCGACAACAAGTTGAGCACAAAAATCAGTTGCGGCTCGCACTTGTTGGCCGGCTTTGGCGTGTCCTCCTCCTTGGCCTGTTGTCGATTGTGATGATGCGGTGGTGGAGCAGCAGTGGGATGTGAGGTGCTGTGATACAGAGCAGTCGCTTGAAAAGGTGATTCAACTTACACCAACGACACACTGGCACACCGACACACGACAGCAAGTAAGCAAGGTATGGATAGCAATCACGGCAGGGTCAGCAAGGCAGCTGGCTGGTAATGGGAGCCACTCACCTCCTCTTTCTTTTCAAAGGCCCTCTTCTCTGACCGCAGCCGATGTTGTGTCGTCACCTCTCTGCACAGCCCACACGCGAGCATGGTAGTGGAATCAGTATGATGCATGAGGTGGGGACCTGAAGCACTTGCCAGGTCAGCTGTCCTCAGCAGTATACGCAGGCACACACACACAGACACACACAGACACACACAGACACACACAGACACACACACACACTCTCTCTCCTCACACACACACACCTTGACGCGTAGCCAAAGACGCAGTATGCGTCGAAACCGGCGCCCTCGAGGAGGGAGCAGAGGACGATGCTCATGTCAAACGAGTTGCCGTGCTGCCGCCACAGCGTGTACGTCGGAGACGGCATCACCGCAGGCTGTTGGCGCCAAGGCATTCGCGTGGTGAGATGAGAGCATGTGAGCCACAGCACGGCGTGCTACAATACACAAACAATGCACACACACACACACACACACACACACACACACACACACACACACACACACAGAGAGAGAGAGAGAGAGAGAGAGAGAGAGAGAGAGAGAGAGAGAGAGAGAGAGAGAGAGAGAGAGAGAGAGAGAGAGAGATACACCCGCCACGGCCACTGACGGGTTCTGTTGGGATTTCGAGCTGGTCGTAGCCAATGTAGTCTGCAACAAAAGCGGCAATGCCATCATGGCGATCCAGCTCACGGTACTGCAGCTTGGTCGGACGCACTGTTGTGCACAGAAATTTCTGGTCGCAGCAGGTGGGCAGGATGAGGACAGGGGCAATAATTGATGCAGCGCAAGTGATGTGGTGGTACACATCAACGAAGCACGACAGCCAAAGACACACACACACACGCACACACACGCACGCACACGTGATCCATCGAACAAGATTGGTTGGTTAGCATGGTCACATACCTCGACGCCGCACTCGTTGGGAAAGATAGTGCTGAGGGGCTTGCGCTGCTTGTAGAGGCTCTTGAACTGCCGCTCAAAGTTGCGCACAATGGCAAGCGTTGCGATTTCCTTCTCGCTGTTGATACGGTACGTGTCGGGGTACTCGGGCTCTTGCCTGCAGCGACACACGTTGACGAACACCAAACAAGCAGGTTGTCAAGAATCACCTCTTGAATACCATCGCGCCCAAACTCGCGGTAGCATCAGGAACAGACGGTTGCCAGCGACCAGGGACACAACACTGTCACGTACACAGGCAGGCAGACAGACAGACAGGCAGGCAGATACAGAATGACACAGAAACACGCACACAGACAGACATGCAAACACAGACACAGACACGCACGCACGCACACACAGACACGCACACACACACACACACATACACACACACACGTACACACACACACACACACACACACACACACACACACACACACACACACACACACACACACACAAATCAACAAACCAACCGCTGAAACGGCAGCTGGTTCATGCCCTGCATGAGGTCCTCGATGGCATCCGCTCGTGCCTTCATCGTCTCGGACTCGTACTCTTCATCGTCCAGGTCATCGTCATCGTCATCCACAATGACATCGACACTGGACTTTGCTGGGCCAGGGCCAGTCGTGCTGCCAGCCTCCGCATCACGGCCGTCCCCACCTTCTTCTTCCTCTGGTGCCACATCCTGCAGCAAGCGATCCCCATCGCTGTCCTGTTCAAGCCGTCCTTGCTGCTGTTGCTGCTGCTGTTTGTCTGCAGTCGCCTGCTGTGGTTCATCTTGTGCGGCCCCCTCCATCGCTGGCTGGTCTGATAGCGGTGCTGTTGTGGTTGTGCTTGCTGCGTCGTGTGGTTTGGTCGGTCTTCCTCTCTGTCTCTGTTTGCTTTGTGGGGTTGATATCGGCTGCTGAAAGTTTATTGAAATCTTTCACAATTCGCCATTGGTTGTCAAGCAGTTTCAAACGGCACAAAATGCGCTACGACTGCTCTGTGTGTCTGCGTGTGTGTGTCTGCGTGTGTGTGTGTGTGTGTGTGTGTGTGTCTGTGTGTGCGTGTGTATTGTGTGAGTATTGTGTGTATGTTTATCCTACCTTCTGCCACTCCTTTATTCGCTCACACACATCCATCACACACCCATCTCTCTCTCTCTCTCTGTCTTAGTCACACACCCGATCTCATGCACACACGCACATAGAGCGACCCCATCACGCGCCTATTGTGCGTCCTGGTGCTTCTCGATGGGGCAGCCGGAGGAGGCCCATTCCGTCCACGCGCCGTCGTAGATGGGCATGACCTGGTCGTGGTTCAGGGCGCCTGCGTACATGCACAGACAGGCGACGCAACAAACAATACGAGCCAAGGAAAGGGGTCAGAAAAGGATGGCTGCGTATTGCGACGTGCTGTGGCACAGACGACACGATGGCACAACGTTGTATCTTGATGCTGCTGTCACACCCAACAGCAACACCCACCGTTATGCACGAAAGCACACACACACACACACGAACGCACTTATGCGCGCACCTCCTTCTGGGTCCAGCGGGGCTGTGACGATGTGTGCGGCCATGGCAATCACGCATGCGGACACGCCGGACCCGCATGACGCAATGCACCGCCGGCTCTGCAGATCCGTGTCTGCCACCTTGAAGATTGTCTCCAGCTCCCCACGCTCCTTCATGCGCTGTCATGAAACGCAAAATAGTGGTGCGGTGATGAGTTGTGATGTTCTGTGAATGGCATTACATTAATCCAAGAAAAGCTGTGGTTCCAGTCCGAGGAACCTCGTGGTCTCATTTCATGCACGGACACACACACACACAGAGAGAGAGAGACTCACACACACACACACACACACACACACACACACACACACACACACACACACACACGACACACACACACACACGACGACACACACACACACACACTAGCACACACAAAGACTCAGGTGTGTTAAAAGCGGAATAAACTTGTGAGTAAGAATGTCTGAGTTTGTATGGCACGTGCTGTCCTGTTAATTGTCACAATGAGAAGATACGGTGTGGCTGCAGGGCTGTGCCGCAAAACCTGACACGCGCACAACATATGTGTTGAGAGTGTGTTTAATGAAACCGCGTATATGTAGATGTCCAGTGTAAAGACAGTGTGGACTCCAGCTCCGAGCACA